AAGAAGAAACCATGGATTCCAGAATGCATGAGATGCATATTCACAGTGCTGAAAGGCAGAACTCAACTAAGAATTCTTTATCTGCCAAAACTGCCCTTCAGAAATGAAGAAGAAATGAGACAATCTTTGCACGTAAAAAGCAAGAGAATTTGTCAGCAGTTGATCTGCCTACAACAAATGCTTCAGGATGAAATGAAAGAACACTGGACTTGAATCTATATAAAAATTAAAGAACATGGGTAAAGTCCCATAGGTTGACTCAGCGCTGGCAAGATGGTCCTTAGAAAAAGGAAGTCTTTCAAAGATCACTTGCATCACTTCTCTCCACTTTTCAGGAGTCCTGCTGTTTTCCTTCATCCAGCATATAATTTTTGAATAGGTTAATGAAGTGAGATCTTTTCACCATTCTAATTCTGCATAAAAAATAAGTAAATAAAAGAGTGGGCTTACCATTATTAGTCAATAGGAAATGCAAATTAAAACCATAGTGAGATACCCCTACATATGCACCACAATGGTTAGTATTAAATGGTTGGACAATACATAGTGTTGGCAAGGATATGAAACAACTGGAATTCTTAATGTTGGTGGGAGTGTAAACTAGTATAGCCACTTGGGAAAACTATTTGTTATAGCAAATATGCTGTTGCAGAATTTTTTACCAGAGTTTGTTGTCTCCTGCTTTGAAGAATGAAGAGGTCAACACAACTAAAATCAGCAGGCAAAACTTTATTAGAGTATAAGATCAGAAAGTAAGAATAGTATGAAAGCTCTTTTTATACAAAAGGGGCATTCGAAAGTGAATGCCCGCAACTGTAGGCAAGGGACTTTGTTTTATGGGGTTTTCTCGGCCCCGTTCCTTCCCCCTCGTTCCTTCTCAGGCTCTACCCTTATTGGCTTGATAATTTTAGGTGCTGGCTTGTCCATTCCTGATTGACTTGATTCCATTATGTGAGGAGTCAGACTATGGTCCTACCATCTCACATATAACGTAAGTTTTATGATTTACTTATTTTAGTTAGGTATTTTGCTTGTCAAATTCCTAAGAGGAACCTGAAGGGGAGTAGGTGGTGTCTGTTACATTTTTAAGAGGAACTTTAGGCCTGAGGGAGTTTGCTCCTGGGTCAGATGCTCCCAGCAGTGTTTTAAAATATGTGTTTTTCCTCACCCAGGGACCATAGGTCCTAACCTTTCCCTCTCTGCCTATTTTATTCTCTCGTTCCCTGTCACAATGCCTGCCTACCTTCTGACCTATCAAATCTATTCCAACAGCTGGAAGCAAAACCAAATGCTTATCAACAGGAGAACAGATAATGTGGTGTCTTCATGCAGTGAGCTACAGACTACTCTGCAAGAAAAAGGGCTAAGGGCAAACTGCTGATACACAAATGTTGAATCTCACAAATAGGCTTTGCATAAAAAGCTAGACACAAAAGAATATATAATTTAAGTTTCCATTTGTATAAAGTTCAAAAATCAGGTAAAACTGATCTATATAATAAGTAGAATACCATTTATCTTATGGGCACTGACTGACATGTCGCACAAAAGAGCCAGTTTAGAGGCTGAGAATGTTCCCTGTCTTGTTCTGGATGTTGGTTCCATGAGTATATACATAAAAATTTTAATTAAATGCTGAAAAAAGGTTGCTATTCTTGAAGTTCTGTTTGTACTTTATGTTATGTGAGATAGCTTAAGATCTTGAAATATGTATCATTACTCTGTCCGTGTTGTTCAAATCAGGGATAAATAAAACTATGTAATTAAATCACTGGAAGGAAATCCAACCACAGTTTCATTATTTATAAGTACTAAAAGTCTTTTTTTTTTTTTTGGTCTTAATTAAAGTATAACATGTTAAAGTAATTTACCTTTGAGGTGGAAATATAAATTTAGGTTTAATAATGAATCTGATGATTACCCTATTTGATTTTAGGCAGTGTTTAAATATTTGGTCATATATGCTATTCTTGAAATCCAGAATGGGCTAAGGGCAATTATTACCAACATTTAACTAGCTTGGTTCTGTTATTTCATGCTGGAGGACCACAGTAGAATGAACAAATAAGTGAACTTTTGAGAAATAAAGTGTCAGTGTTTTCACAACTACTTGTAGGCTGTAAACAAGAAACGAAATCTGTTCCTTGCAAAGAATGCAAGTCTGGCCAAACACCAAGATGTTGCTGCATAGGGAAAATAAAACAACCAGAGACAAAACCACAACAGAGCTGCTTTCATCCCAGAATGTTCTAGGACCTAAAGAACTTAAGGACCGAGACATAACCAGACATAGAGGAGAGGAAGGGTAATCAAGGGAGGAGAGAGAATCTATTTTTTTTTTCTTGACCTTGTGTTAACTATTATTCTAAACCTAGAAATGCTGATTTCATCTGAAAAATCAGAAACAGATTTGTCCAGTTTATTCATTTATTCAACGAATATTTATTGACCTTCTGCTATGTTCCTTAGCACATTGTAAGCACTTGAGATACAGCAGCAAATGAGACACAAATCCTGCCCTTATGGAACATATATTGAGGGTGAGGGGTGGGGTAGGAATGCATTATTCCTAACACACATTATACATGTTGCAGTAAACCTATATTAGGTAGTTACTTTTCTTCTTTAGCCATAGTTTAGTTTTCAACCCATGGAACCTCCAGTTGAATGCTATTTAAGCCCCATTACCCTTTCTAATGAGACCCTCCTTTGTTCTTAAATAATAAGATCTTCTTGCCTATGAATCAGTTGGTTTGTCTTGATAAGTGGTAAAGAATAGGGTTAGAATTAGACCCAAATCATATGGGAATTTAGGACAAGTGGTATCAAACGCAAAGCAGTGCAGTAGCCCCCACCCTTGCCTACAGTTTTGCTGGTTAACCACAGCCTAGAAGCAGATAATCCTTTTGGCATGTCATCAGAAGGTCAATTGTAGCCTGATGCTGGTCACAATGCTGTATCACTCACCTCACTTTCTCATCACATAGGCTTTTTATCATCTTCACATCATTGCAAGAAGGGTGAATACAGTACAATCTAATATTTTGAGAGAGAGACCACGTTCACATAACATATATATACATTGTAACAATTATTCTATTTTATTTTCAGTTATTGTTAATCTCTTATTGTGCCTAATTTATAAATTAAACTTTATCATAGGTAAAAAACATAGTGTGTGTGTGTTCACACACACACGGTTCAGTACTGTCAGTGTTTTCAGGCATCCACTGAGGGTCTTGGAACTTATCCCTGGTAGATAAGGATTGACTACTGGATCCTAAAGTCAATGCAGGGAAAAGCTGAAATTAATAAAACAGAGAAAAATAGTAGAAAGGAGAAACAAAAATGAAAATTGATTATTTGAAATGGTCAATAAAAAGGTAAACCCTTTGCAATATCAATGAAGGTATATAAGGGAGTAAACGTACATCACCTAAAGGATGAAAAAGGAGACATAATACAGATGTGAAAGAAATTAAAAGAGGGGTGGCTCAGTTGGTTGAGCGTCCAACTTCAGCTCAGGTCATGATATCACAGTCTGTGGGTTCGAGCCCCTCATCAGGCTCTGTGCTGATAGCTCAGAGCCTGGAGCCTGCTTTAGATTGTGTCTCCCTCTCTCTGCCCCTCCCCCGCTCGTTCCCTGTCTCTCTTGCTCTCAAAAATAAATAAAACATAAAAAAAAAAAGAAATTAAAAGAATTATATGTGAATGCTATAAAAGAGTATCTTTGTAGTAAATTGAAAGCCCAGAGATAATAGCTGACTTTTCAGGGTAGATGGAGAACTTAAATAGGTTGATTAGTCTCTGAGAGATTGAAAAGGTGATTAAGGAAAACATTTTAAAAGGCATAGATGTGGGGTGCCTGGTGGCTCAGTCAGTTAAGGATCTGACTTTGGCTCAGGTCATGATCTCATAGTTCATGAGTTTGAGCCCCATGTTGGGCTCAGTATTGACAGCTCAGAGCCTGGAACCTGCTTGAGATTCTGTGTCTTCCTCTCTCTCTCTGCCCCTCCCCCACTCATGCTCTGTCTCTGTCTCTCTCTCTCACAAATAAACATTAAAAATTTTTTTCTTATTTTTAAATTTTTTAAAATTTATTATTTTTTAAAAAATTTAATCTTTATTTTTGAGAGAGAGAGACAGAGCTCCAGCAGGGGTGGAACAGAGAGAGAGGGAGACACAGAATCTGAAGCAGGCTCCAGGCTCTGAGCTGTCAGCACAGAGCCTGATGTAGGTCTTGAACTCACGAACTGTAAGTTCATGACCTGAGCCGAAGTTGGACACTTAAACGACCGAGCCACCCAGGCGCCCCCCCCCCAAATTTATTTTAAATAAATAAAAGGCACAGATGATTCAAAATTGAATTGTTTCTAACTTTTAGAGCACAGATGAGTCCAATGCTATTTAAACTAGTTTAGGTCATAGAAAAAGATGGAAAACTCCCCTGTTCACTTTATGAAACTATGATTTAATGTCAGAACCCAGTAGAAATTATAGAAAAGAAAACCTCAGAGTTTTCTTCCCATATTGATGCTACAATCATAAATCATAAAGTCATAATTAAAATATTATTAAACAGAATTCAGCAGTGTATTAAAGATTGATAAGTTTTTATGACTAATTTTATTTCAAAAATGAATGGTTCATATCAGAAAAATCTGTTAACATCATTCATTACTTCAATAAATTAAATCCAAATGATCATATTATTTAATGCTGGAAGGCTCTTGGTAAAATTCAATTGTCATTCATAATACAAACTGTTAAGGAATAAGAAAAAACTACTGAAACAAAGTAAAGACTATTTGTTCACTTAACATGTTGAGTACCCATTGAGTACCCATTGCATTAGGGTTATAGCAGTTAACAAAACATACAAAACAAATAAAAATAAGCCCTTTCTTCGTGAAACTTACATTAGTATTTGAGAGTCAATCCATTAAAACATAGGCAAGTTAAATGTCTAGTTTGTCAGATGGTAATGAGTACTTTAGAGAAAAATAAAGCAGAAAATAGGTTGTTGCCAAGAGCTGGGATATAGGAATAGTAGGGAGGTCCTCATTGGTAAGGTGATACTTCTAGCAGAGACCTATGAGAGAGCAAGAGCAAGTGAACAAAATACAAAAAAATTGCTGCCCTCATGGAGCCTATAATCTAGTGGAAGGAGAAAAAAACAAAAAACAAAAATTGTACTAAATAGGAAAATCATGTATTAGGATAGTAGCATTTATAAATGCTGTGGAAAAAGAAAAATCAGAGGAGATAAAGGGGATCAATAATGAGGGGACTTTTTAAATTAAAAAAAGTTTTTAAGTAATCTCTACCCCCATTGTGGGTGCTCAGACTTGGAACCTCAAGATCAAGAGTCACATGTTCTACTGACTGAACCAGCAGGTGTCCCATGGACCAAGGGGTTTTGAGGGGCAGGTTATAATATTACATAGAGTGATCAGAGTATTCCTCATGAAGGTGAGATTTATGGATATCTTGGAGGTGAAGGAGTTAGCCAAATGGATATCTGGGGAAAGAATATTCCAGGCAGAGCAAACAGCCACTATAAAAACACCAGTGAGGAGCATACCTAGCCTAGGTAAGCAATCACAATAAAGTCAGTGGGGCTGAAACAGAGTGGACGTAGGAGAGTGTAGAAGTCAGATTAGGTTACTACCACTGTAAGGACTATTTAAATATTAGTTTTGGGGGGACGCCTGGGTGGCTCAGTCGGTTAAGCATCCGACTTCAGCTTAGGTCATGAGCTCACAATTTGTGGGTTTGAGCCCCACATCAGGCTCTGTGCTGACAGCTCAGAGCCTGGAGCCTGCTTCAGATTCTGTCTCCCTCTCTCTCTCTGCCCCTCCCCTGCTCGCACTCTGTCTCTCAAAAATAAACATTAAAAAAAATTAGTTTTTGGGCACCTGGGTGTCTCAGTCAGTTAAGCGTCCAATTCTTGATTTCCACTCAGGTCATGATCTCATGGTTGTGAGATCAAGCCCCCACATTGGGCCCTGTGCTGGGCGTGGAGCCTGCTTGAGATTATCTCTCTCCTCTCTCCTGCTGTCACGTGCACACTCTAAATTAATTAAATAAATAAAATAAAAATCAGTTTAATGAATTTTAATAAGGCAAACACCCTTATAACTACCATCCATGTCAAGAAATTGAACTATGCCAGTCAATCTAGAAGCCTTTCTAGGTATCCTAATCTCAAATCTCATACTTTTCCCAAAACCATGTACTAATCTGATACTTTTAGAAATCACTTCCTGATGTTTCTTTATACTTTTATCATCCAAATACACATCCCTATATACTATAGTTTTACCCATCAAAAATAATCTGGCGTGTATTTAAATTCCTTTTAATCTATAGATTTCCAATGCTCAATTTCTATCATTACCATATGCTATTTTTTGAAGAGCCCAGGTTATTTGCTAGTAAAATTATGTATAATCTGAATTTTGCTGATTGCAAAACTTTTGCAATTGGACTGCTGATTATCCAACATATTCTTTTTAATTCTGTGTTTCATACAAATTGGTGGCTGAATCCAGAGGCTTAATCATACTCAAGATTTGATTTGGCAAGGCTGTTATGCATAGTTGTCTTACCTTTTGTGATTTTAGCAGCCATTAATCCTCAGTGCCTAGATTCATCAGTTTGTTTGACCTTGCAAAATTTTGATAATCTAATTCTGATTTCTTTTCTATATATTATTTGAAAAATGTTTATAAAGAGATACATCCCTCCATCTACTATTTGGTTACCTGG